ACACACACACACACACACACACACACACACACACACACACACACGCAGTATACTTGCACTCACAAACAGGATTACAGTCACATGCATAATATAAATGAACAGCAATATAAACAATAAATAATGTTAAGCCAGATACATACTCAGTATTCGGATTGTAACTCAGTAGTGTTCGGATGAATGCTGTAAGGTCATATGAATACTTATTACATGATGATTAAGATGGAAAAAGTTTGATGGATGATGGTAAGAATAACCTTCTGTATCTTTCTTTGTTACAGATCAGAAGCCTGGGTTTTTTACTCATGACTGATTTTTCTAAAGAAGGGGGGTTGGGTAAATATATGGAAAGGAATAATTAGAAGAAAATCCACGTCGTTTCACACTTTTAAATGTAAATCTGAGTTAGAAGACATTGATTGAAGCCAGTGAAGTATGGATAGAAACTGACTTGGACGCACAGAACAAAAAATACTACTACGGTATACGAGTACGAGCAAACAAAAGGAAAGTGAGAAGCAACCACCTTTTAGCCCTGCACCCTGTTCGTTACCCAAACACTTACTTTCCACACAAAAGTTTTAAAAAATAATTTAAATTTTTTTTTAACAACATATGTATCGTAAGTATTTGTACGTAAGTGGTCTTTCACGCCCCTATCAACACTAGTAGGCTAGTTAATATAGTCATTAGTGACTTTGATGTCAAAGTTGGCAACCAAATGAAAGCAAAGGCTGGGAGTCATTTGCTGGCATATACACTTGGGCATTGCATTATTATACATCACTGCATTATTTGACTCAATTTGGAACCATATTTAGAGCAAAAGAGAAAGAGTGCGCATACCCTCGACTATAGCGAGACGGGGAAACGATTTGTGCATTGTTGTATTTACTACTATAATTAGAGGTGGGCAAAATCCGGATAATCTATCCGGATAACCGGATAATTATCAATGTAACATTGTCCGAATTCAGACTCTCTTTCCTGGCCCTTTTTCCGAAGTGGGTGCACCCATTTGTTGAAGTGATGCTGACCCGTTTGCCGAAGCGGCTCATATCATATTTTTTTGCCGAAGAGGTGCACTAACGTATTATCCGGACTTTTTTAAAGCGACTCATTGCCCAGCCCTAGTCTATAATACATCATTTCACCCCGACATAATTCCGGTTCAGTATGGTCAGGACCATTTTTGACTAAATCTGCAGCGGAGAATGGTTGGGCGGACTCTCGACCACGGCGAGGCTGGGAGACAAGTGGGCCCATGGTGAGTAGAGCTGGGCGCAGAATCAATTCCGGAACCGATTCCCATGATTAATGATACGAAAGAAAAGTTCCGACTCTTTTTTTTACGTTAACCAAGAGTTACCAGTTACTTTAATCATTAAAATCTTCTTTTTTTTAGAACTCCTTTTTGAAAAATAAAAGTTGATGTTTAGTAGTGTTCCGAAATCAAGGTTATCCTAAATCTGAAGATGTTCGGAGCCAACAGTGGCGTGGCTCTCTAAGCGCAAATGGCGCCATGGCGCCACCCTTTGAAATGGAGAAAGGATTTTCAAAAAAGGGAATACGATGTTCCAAAACTTAACAAAATATCACAATATTTTTTTCAAACCATTCTCTTATTCCTAAGTACTCCAGTCTTTAGTTAAGGTGTCTATAATTAGGCTAGTGGGAGGAGGGCGGGTAAGCCTCCCGTTGCCGGTCACAAGGATCTCCCCGCGTCTTTCGTTCCCTATGTCTGACGTCACCGAGGGCGCCGAACCCAGATCGGCCCAACCTGAACCAGTGTCTCAGCCTGAACCCATCTGGGTGTTCATCGTTTAGGTGTGACGTCTGGTCAAAATAATTCAAAATGATCTGTAAACTATTTGATTCAATCAGTTGAAAACAGGGTTTTCTTTCCAAGAATAGCAAAAAAGTTTCTTTAATACCCCACCCAGACGTTTGACGGAAGACAAAAGAGATATCACCGAGAACATAACTCAGCTAAAAATACTACAACAGGTACTCCCATCACACTAAGAGATTGTACTGTTGGGCCAAAGGGCCAAGATTGATTTGGCGCCTGTATGGTTGGGAGGGGATGAAGTGGTAGTTAGCCTGGACATAGCCACATGGCATGGTTGCGAACTGTCTAAAAATAGGTTTTATTGTCTGCTTTCTAGAAACCAGAACTGCAAGGAATCAGGGAATGGGGTCATTATGTCAAGACGCCCCGAGGGCAATAGTGCATGCGTGTTCTTGACTGTTAATGTGTGCTTTTCTGTTGATCAGTTGGAAGTTATTTTTTTGTGTGGGATTACGATGTGATGTGATTATGCGCATCTTGACCGCTGAACTCTCTCTCGATCTATATAAAAGATTGTACCACCACTTATCTATTCTTCTCGCATGGAAGTATATATCAGTATTAAAATTAAATGAACAGGCGTATATAGTAGGTCTACAGTTTATGGGCCTGTAATAAGTAGGCAATACTATTCCTTGTGATAAATTTGTTCTTGGCGCCACCTTCTCTGGAAGTGACACCACGCCCCTGGGAGCCAACCAGGTAACCACCGAGAAGAAATCACATTATTAGAAAGTAATCGGGTTCGGAGTCCATTCCTACGAATTCTAGCTTTCAAGAATCGGGAACCTGGCCGCCCAGCACTAATGGTGAGCAGTGAGATCGCTTCATAGCGAAGTTATTAATAGAGGGCAAAGAGCAACTGCCATAACATTGCACGGTCTTGGAATACATGTATTATAATTCAAACTTTTATTTGCTTGTAGAATGTTATAATGCGAATATAAAGCACGAAGTAATTTATCCAAATTAAAGCTGATATTTCACGCTTGAGAATCAATTTTTACAAAATATATTTCATGTATGAAATATACGGATTTTTTTTCAGAGGAAGTGTAACATCATCTATGGTATAAATCATGACCTACCATCGTAATTTGTGTAATATATATATTTTTTATCTGTCTCATTTTATCTTATCTACTCACATTGTTGGACGCGATGCCAGAGTTTATAATGTCTGCCTTGACCGCCTCCAATCTATCCTGGTTCCGTCCATGAAGAGTGATCTGGGCCCCACGTCTTGCCATCAACTTGGCTGCTGCGGCGCCAATTCCAGAACTACTGCCTGGGGAGGTGTAATGATGGGGAATTATGTCTTACGCCCTCATCGACGCAATTTGAATCATTTCGAAGACGGGCTGCTTCGAATCTGTCTGTCTGTCTGTCTGTCTGTCTGTCTGTCTGTCTGTCTGTCTGTCTGTCT